TCAGTGGGCTACCTCGGCACAATCTACTGGGAGAATAGGCATGTCTAGCACCCTGCCCTTGCAACTTTTGCTCCCTGAAACTTCTAATATTTGACAAGAACTGCTTACCCTGAGCATCTGGCTCCCATGAAGGGTAGCAACTCTGGAAACTACAATCAGAATGAAATAATTCAAGGTGAAATTATACAGCAGAAAAAAAAAATAGAAAGGAGATTCAACACTATACAATGAGAGAAAAAGCACCACAACCAAGAATAATAAAAAAAACTAAACTTGAGAGAAAAGAAGACAGAAAGAAAGAAAAACAAATTATGAAAGAGTTGGGAGAAGTAATAACTCTAGAAGGACAGGAAGGCATTTTGACACAATCAGCCAAAAAATAATAATTAGGTGTAGATAAAAGGCATTTTGTACAAAGCTACAGCACATTATGTCTCATTAGAAAATCAAAACTTTCTGTCAGCTTTTATCACAGAGAATATTGATATAAGATTTTGAGGTGATTTCGGATTTCCAACACCATATTCACCTAGCAAATAGCAAGAATGATATGTGCAGGTGTAGGATAGAGCAACCACCCAAGTTCAATTAACCTTGCTATAATCATACCTCAAGAATGATTTCTCCATTTTCCCTTGGGAACTCCTTTGAGTGCGAGATGCATTATGTGGAGAGCCATAATTGCCATTGCCATGGTTTTGGAAATCAAAGGCGCTAAAACTGCAAAATGAAGAAGGGAATAATCAAACATATTATCTCATTTGATGGGCACATGATATAGCTAGTAATAAACTGGTCCAAAACAGTTTAAAGAAAAAGAACAACTACCTGCAAACATGACCAACACCCTCGACATCCATGGTAAAATCTGCAATGAACTGTAAAATGTCATCCACCCGCTGCAAAATACAAAACACAGAATTTTAGTTCAAAATCTTACATGTATGGTATAAGAAATGACAATAAATATAATTTCCAAAAGAAAAAAAAATCAATAACCTTTGGGACAACAAATAGAAGCAAGAATGGAGTGAGGAAAATTGAGGCCATCTCCTCTAGCAACATCATCCCAGTATACTGCATCACAAAATAAAATAAAACAGAGTACACTGAGCCAAAAAAAAAAAAAGTTCAAAAAGTCAAAGTAAAGAGCAAAGAATTAAAAGCATTTCTCATATGAATGTTAATTTTGATTGTATCTCCCAATCCAACAGTAACAATGCCCAGAGAAAACATGGCTAGCCTAGAAATTTGATTGCTAGAACTTGATGAAGCAAACTGGTCATAAGAAATGATGTTTTGTTACTTGAAAATCCATAGACTACTGTGAGTTGTAAAATTAAGTACGAGAAGTATCTGTCATATCTTCCAAACTGAGCTTCAGACAACAAGGAAAAGCAACGACAAATGCAAACTAAACATTTGGCTATATGGCAGGTAAAACATCTTATGTTCAAAGATTTTTACAATTGAAAAAGCATACAACTCCTAGTTTACAGGTAAAACAAAAATAGGAACTAAGCAGGATTACCTGAAATAGAGTTTCAAACTCTATCCGCACTATCTCAGTGTTCTCTTTACCACGCCATCTCTTTGGCATATAATGTGTATGTTGGACCACCATAGACATGGCTCCTTCTGGATCAAGGACCAGAAGTTCATCGGTAACCGCAGCCCGGCTGATAGCCGTTATGGTTCCAAAAACAGCTGCATACCAAAACAAGTTCCGACCAAATATCTACAAATTTGAAAGAAGTGTGTAAATAACTGAAATGAAACATGGAAGAGTTTAACAGAAAATACAATAATCTGAAACAGTAAAGGTTCAAAGATATTACATGGCCCTCTAGCAAAGATTCTTCCAGAAAGGCAATAATGATTAAAATAGCAGCAAAGCCACCAGATACAAACGAGATAAACTTTGCGATGATAGAAATAATTGGTGAGGGGAATTGCTTTAGGTACTCAGAAGCATGCATTACACTGCTATTAATCCGGTGCTTGAATAAATGGTCAACCTGCAAAGACAAAGACAACAGTATAGTACAGCATTACAGTATGTAAGAACAAGAGATCTAGCAGTGTAAATATCCATCTCAAGAAACAAATATTGCATCTTATTTTTACAATAGATTCTAAACAACTTTTCTTCTTCATAATAAATTTAAATTCTTGTTTCGATTTAAACAAATTAAGATTTTCAAATCAGACACAAAGATGTAACTTCAAACATTTGACTAAAGCTCAAGATTACTAGATAAAAATAATAACACAAACTTGTGAGGATAGGCAGTGAGCAAATCCTTATTGACTTCACCACACAAAAGAAAATGATTTAACTTACAAATGAAGCAGAGAGATGAGAGAATGACCATACCTCATTGAATTCCCTAAACATCCACTTCGACAAATTTGACCATCTTCGGGATGAAGCTGTGCTTGGATGGTTATAAAATTGTTCAGCATGCCTTAAGAAGAGATAAACCAGCATGAATATAACAAGAAATGGAGAGAGAAGAAGCATAGCAAGGCCGACAACCATAAGCCTCTTCTTCAATGTTCTAGGGTTAGAAACAAAGTCCCTTCTAATACAGAAGTTTCTGCAAAAAACACGCATTCCAAAAAGTTGGTCATAAACCTGTAGAATTTTTTTTTCCTTTTTTCAAAAAAAAAAAATACTAATAGAAAATGTTTTTGGCAACAAATATCAACAAAACCTCAAAAAAATTGTCAAGGTTAATTTCAGGGTTACATTTGAAACTTGAAGACCTTAATAAAAAGATTTTCTCCCTAAACATAGAAAAAAAAGGATCACTAAAACTTTTTCAGGATTTTGACATGTAGTGCTGGTCAAGAATGAACAAAAATGCAGCATTATAAAAGAAACAGCAATTAATCACTATTCTAGTTTCTATCCAACTCTTTTCTTGCTACTTCGTGAAACAATATCAACCATCAAAGACACAACCTAAGCAGGACTACCAAACGTGACAGACTTCACAGGAAAAATGCAAAATCTACGATTTTCCTAAAGCTACAACACCACAGTCAGCAGTTAGGTACCAAAACCATGTACTGGATTATACAAAGAAATGAAGAATATATACATCATCTCGATAGTACAAAACTGTACAGGTCTCAATGGCCCCAACCATTTTCTCCAGTGTGATCCACAATAGCCACTCTCAACATATCAGAACAACACAAGAACAATTGAATGACAGCATTTAATTTTCACATTCAACACCAAAGATGCATCTTGTAGCTCCTCTCAACAATAAGCACTATATAGCATTCTTGAAGTTGAAATATTATGCATTTAAATTGAAGAAATAAGAAATTTTATCATTAGTCAGAAAGTAGAAAGTCATGACACTTGCCTCTATAGATTGTTTCACTAAAGATACACATTGAAAGGCCAGCTCATCATACAACTGGGAACATATCATGAGATTATATCCATAACAGCAATTATCAGAAAAGTAACGTACATAAAGAAGAAAGTCACATGTTCATAAAAAATTAAACATACCGGTCAAACATGCTCTGCAGTATACACCAATTTAAGGTCCATTCAAGTGTCTTTGTTAGAATCAGCCGATGCCGTGTTCCACCAGGGCCAAATTTCACAGTTGGACCAGCACCAGGGACCCAGGTTGAGATAGGAAAAGCAAGCACTCCTTTATTAAGCATTCCAATCAAGTAGTTCTCCTTTCGCATCAATCGCATGACGACATCATGAGCGGAAAGATCCTTGACCACACAGAGTTGTTGAGCACTTTGTAACTGGACAACCCTTTCGAGGATTGTTGCCCATGGCATGGTTTGAATTTCATTGTCAGTAACATGGAGACTGCCAATTTAAATTTCAAAAGAGTAAAATTATGATAAACATTTATAAGATATTGATACAAGTAAATGCTCTAGCAAAAAGCACAAGAAAAACTTCCAACTTATAACTTATCAAATATAACCTTACCTGTTATAATAGAAATGACGTACTCCAAGAGTATCCTTTAATTGTGCAAAAAACCTCAAAAAACAGAATATCCAATAGAAGGAAAATAGCCCCAAATATCCAACAATAATAGCTTTTGAAAGGGTTAAAGGGGTTAATGGGTGCTGGTGAAGAGCTTCCTTAGCAAGATCACATGGCTTAATTCCAGACTCAAATGCATCCATCCCACACTTTGCATTGCGGAGACCATTCCAATCAACAAACAATAAGAAAAATCCTGAGAAACATATGGTAAATCCCAGGCTCAGAAGTTCAACTATCCACTTTATAATTATGCACCAAAGCCCTTTCTCACAATAGTAGCAATAAAGCCGTTCAAAGAACAAGTCCAAATCGGCAATGGGTTCTACATTCAGACTCTCACCATTAAGAAGCCCCGAAGGGCTCTCACTACCAGGACTTGGTGGAACCCTCCCATAGTCAGACAACTCAATCTCAGGAGGCACATCACCTAGCAAGCCTGTGGCCAAAGAGGATTCACCACCCCATCTCCACCTAATGCCAAGAGCATTTGCAGCCTTTTGCACCCTGAACATCATTTGTAAATCTTGAGGAAAAGCAGCCAATCCATTCCCCAAAATACACAAATGTTTATGGCAAGGTTCTGCCAATAAGAAAAAAATCAGACAAATTTCATTTTATGAAGTATGCACATGTTCACTTGTACAGAAAGAGGGGGGAAATAGAAGCAAAACAGAAAACTAATCCATCATACAGTGCATCACAACAATAAAGAGACGAAGCGACATCATTGACCGTACAGAACTTAGCACCAGTATCATTTTAATATTAGAATCCAAACACTGAAACAACATTTATACAAGACATGGAAAGAACACATCATCACAAAGTTCTTTTTTTCTAAATCCTTAAACTGATTAATTGAGTTCAGATACCTGTAAATCATAAGTTGCACAAAAACCACAATTATTTCCTCAATCAACCAGCTGGCAACAGGCTAAAAGATGCAACCAGTTGAACCCAGTAGCTTTGCAGATCCTTTAACACAAATGGTAGCAACTGTACGCAAAACCATAATACATAGACAGTAAAAATACATATCAGGAAGAAAAACATCAAACAGAGATAAAATGTCAACCAGCAGGTAAATTGGTGCCAATTCTTAATTCAACTAAATCAATTTTGAATATCCCAAAGAAATGAAAGAAAAAGAAATAAAAAATTACTCTATCAAAAGCTTGGCAGCAAAACATGCTAAAAAAGGAAGGCAATTTTTGGCGAATTTTAAGTCAACCAAAAATTCCAGTATTAATTACAATTGAAAACAAACTATATTAAACCGAACGCTAACCCAATTTATATCCATATAAATTCTTCAAAAGGAAAAAAATAAAATTAGCTGAAAGAAACTCCATGCCAAGATTATTTATCCCAATAAATAACAAAAACTAGTCGAATTTACCTCCGACCCACCAACGAGCAGCTCCAATATCAGCCGAAAGAATGAAGAAATGGTGAAAAACAACGAATTTGGCCGATATCCACTAACTATTATTCGGCAAAAAGAGACACAAAAATCAACAAAAGAAAGAATGAATGATGCTAGGAGAATTGGCAGAAAGGAAAGGAAAGAAAAGAAAAGAAGAGGGTTTTGGTTGCGTGGAAGAAAAATAAATTAAAAAAAAAATTATTTAGAAGTGAATCGTTTTAAAATTACAAGTTAATCAATTCAAGAAATTAAAGATAGTTTTGCCTTCTTAACACTTCACTTCTGTTTTTTTCCCCGGATGAAAAATAATTTCTTCTGGGTGAGAATAATAAAAAAAGAAAGAAAGAAAGGAAGGAGACGTGAAGGTGAGCAATACCTCTTTTTGTTGGGTTTTCAGATTGAGTGACCAAGCATTGATCCAGCAGAAGGACTTTTCTTTTTGTTTTGTTAAAACTAAAACTTTCGTTTTAATGAAAAGCTTCGTCTCCAAGGTTTTTAATTATTTGTTTTCTTAAATAAAAAAAAAATTGTACTCTAATTAACCGATTGCTAAATAGCAGGTGTCAGGGTGATTCATAGCAGCCGGTGCAAACAAATTTGGAAACATCTAATTTATTGGGCCCAAGATTCTTAGCTCTCTTTGTTGGGCTGTGGATCGATTATTTTCGTTGCAATTTACTTGGGCCTTTTTTGCCATATCAATTGATTTTAATGTCCATGTGATGTCCCCAATACTTCACTTGATCTCATAAATATATTTTATTCTTCATTATTTGTTATTGTAAGTATAATATTTTTCAAAATTATTATTCTATATATCCAGGTTTTAAACTCTAAAAACAAATATATCTATTTTAATTGTTTATTATTTTTTAAATGTAAAATAATGAGAAGTATTAAAAAATTTTCAATTCGATATTCACGATAAAAGCATAGAAAAAAATTACCACACATGTTTTCCAATCTACCTTACCTTAGGTCCCTACTTTAATTAATTTTTAAACAATCATTTTAAATATGAAAAAAAAGTTCATTTTTTTTGAAGAAAAATACCAAAAAAAACCCTAAAAATATGAAATGGAAAATGAATAATATCAAAAAAGAAAAAAAGCAGATTTTTTAAATTTATAATAACTAGAAGATACTCACATTATGCAATGGGATTTACAATGGACAAAAGCTTTGCTGCCAGAATATCATGATTTTTAATTTTATAAAATTTTATCAACATTTGATATTAAAAGTTGTGAATTTATTCTAAAAATGTGAATAATTTAAGCTTTATTGATATTAATACATTGAGATATATATATATATATATATAAGGTTTGTCTTGTTTAGCTCTCTTTTGTTTTTTTACCCTTTTCTAGTGGCCTTTAAGAGAGTACAAAACAAAAGTATTTCCCTTTTAGTTTGCTTTTGGTATGATTTTCTTGATTATATTATATTTATGATAGGAGAGAAAATTTTGAAAAATGTTTATGTAAATGATGTGTTTGCTTAAATTTGTTTAATTTCTAACTCAACTAAAACAAGTTTAACTGCATTTATTTTATGGTTTTATTATTGTATATTTGAAATTGTCAAGCGGGTTGAGAAAATGGAGTTCTTTTCATGCTCAATTTTTGTGTTGTTTGTGTTCTTTATTTGGCTTGAGTTGATTTATAATCAAATAGATTATCAATGAAATACTACAAATATATGTTTAAAATATAACTCTTGTTAAGAATATTTTGTTGGTCCCAAAGATGTGTGCTAAAAGGGGGGTAAATAACTCTTTTTGAATGTCACTAAACTTGACTTCTAATTAGAGGCAAGTTAAATGTCAATTGTGAGAAGTTAAATGTTGGATGAAAGAATGGTATAAAGAAGAATGAAATGAAAAATGAAAGAGGGTAGACAATGCATAAAGATTTATAGTGGTTCAATCTCTTTTACCTACATTTACTACCTTGATCTTCTAATCCAAGTTTTTCAAACCAAATCACTATAAACAGTGAAATTTCCAAGTTTCCATCAAGCTTTTACAATGAATTTTCATAAGCTTAACTACAACCTTTAATAATGGCTTTCACGGGATCAACCAAAACCTAAAATCTAACTTTTCTTAGGCTGAATTAGAACCTATAATACTAATCAAGCTAACCCAAGCTTGACTGATCCCCTTAGAGTGACTTGCACACTCTAACTAACCAAGAAGTACAAATATAAAAAAGTACCTATGATCACTAACATGATCTAAATGGTACAAGATGAAGTGTTAAACTCTATTACAACAATTAGAGTAAAATACAGAAGAGTTGAGAGAGTTTTTTGCTAATTTTTTGAGCTCTTTTCGATCTTGGAATCTTTTTATCTTGTTCTTGGCCGTTGGAGGTGCCTTATATATTTGAAAAATTAACTTTGATGGATATTTGACAGCTTCAGACCATTGGAAACAGTTAGGAGACAATTCTAGCCGTTAGTCTGTCTTCTAACATTCAAATTCAAATTTTCAGATAGAGTGCTCTTTGTTAACTAACATGCTTTTTAGTCGATTAAGTTGTCTTTGTCTTGCAACTGAAGTTTTTGACAAGAAGCTCTTAGTTGACTAGTATACTTCTCAGTCGATTAAGTCATCTCTGTCTTGTAACTGAAGTTTCTGACAGTGAGCTCTTAGTTGACTAACCATGCTTCTTAGTCGAGTAAGTCTTCTCCGTCTCTAAACCGGCCAACTTCATTTTTGAATTTTAGCTGACTAACTCCATTGATTATTTGACTAAAAGGCTTTTGTTTTGGGGCTCATTTGTAACTCCTTATTCTAATGAGTTTTGATATTTACTTTCTAGTGATTAATTTATTACTGACATATATTTTCATCCTACACACTCAAGTAATAGAGTTAGATATAAATGAGTGGAAATGTTTTATCATCATCAAAAATTAATGAAGCCAACAATCTCCTCCTTTTTGATGATGATAAAACGTTCCTTGATAAAAGCACAATGTCTATTAGTTCTTTTTGTTATGTACAAGATGAGAATTTCTCCCCCTAAGTGTGTGCTCCCCCTTAATGTATGCATGATTGTTTCAAGTTATTTCTTTATCCAACTTAGTTGGCCAGCTAATTTTTTTCTATTTCTTAATGAAGATAACAAGCATTGATTCAAATATATAACAAAATATATTCATGAATTGACATATAAGTTTGCAGAGCTGCTAGCAATAAGTGACAAAATATTATCAATATTGAAGTCAACTATCATTAGCATATCATCTTCAACAGCAGGTCATATCCATGATAAACTCAAATGTCATTAACATGTCAATAAAGATAACAAAATAGCATAACAAAAATAAGTTATCAGCATCCAAATCCTCACCATCAGCAATTAAAATAACATAATGACATAAACAACCAAGTATCATCAGAGTTGAATTCTTAAATTGCCTTTAGATTACTTTTGTTTTATCCCCTAAATTGCTTCTACTTTCTCCCATTTTTTGTCATCAGCAAAACAGGGATTGCTTATAGGTTCAGAAGGAGTTAGAAGGGGTGGATTCATTAGTTCCAAAGTGAACATTGAGTGGTTTAGGGCATGACACAAGTGATGATCTTTGTAGTGAGGAATCAAAAGAAGATGTGTTTGAAACTTGGAGAGGTTCCCAAATGGAGGATTTGACTAAAGGTTTAGCTTTCTTAACCAGTCTGAAAGACATTCTTCTCTTGAGGAATTTGACTTTTGTTGCCATAGTCTTGTTAGTATAAGCCCTACAAGCCAATCTATGGTTGTATGGGAATTATAATTTTGAGATATTCATGTATGACATTTTGTTAGTCATAATAACATTGAGGTAGTTCTTTATCTATAAGTTTGTGATTTAAATTATTTTTTATATACTTACGTAGATAAAGCTCATGGAACTATATATGCCTTGCAAAAGAATTGTATTGGGATATAATATGAAATCCTTATGCATTAAATCATTGTTCTTAAAAGTTCCTGATCATTGTATTATTAAGACAAGGCATCAATAATGCTCAAAGATTGGCACATGTTATGTTCCTTACTTGTGAAGTAAGTAATCATTCTCATAATTTAAAGTATAGAGATACTTGGAACTAGCATGTGGGTGCTTACCATTGGAGAGCGAGTTCACTAAACATGACTCGCCATGAGAAGTGCATTTGGTACCTCACTCAAGTGTTTATGCAATACATCTCATGTGTTAGTTGTGTAACTACTCCCTAGACTTGAGACACCAGGTTATTTTGTATGTGGAGTACTATGCTTTAATTTTATCTTTATGGGTGCTTAACCAAGGATGCCAAAATAGGATGTTTTTGGGTATAATATGAAGCATATAAAGGCAAATGAGTAGTCAAGATAGGAATCATCACCCTAAGTGATTTAAGAGGAAATATCTCATTAGTTCTTGATTGACATTAGCTTAATCAAATCCGTGGCCAAGATGATTAGGAGATTATGAAATGAGTTTCATAAGTCTCCATAAAGCGAATGATTTAACTACAAGAACAAATATGGAGGTCAATAAGAGTAGGCACTGCACCAAACTCTTATCATATTTGGGATATATGATGAGGGAATGAATTACACTGAAAAACTGTATACTAAAAGGTTGTCAAATAATTCTTTGACTCTTCTAACAATTAAGTGGCCATGATGCATTGCTAGATGCCAATCATGGTCTATGGAATTGAATTAGTTAATTTAAAATTGAATATGATTTATTTAAATTAATTAATTAATAATATTATAATTCAATTCCATTGCTAACATGTTAGGAACCTAATGTGTCACACACAAAGGTTGCAATTTGAATTAAATTAAGAGTATGATGATTTAAGTTAGATTTAAATCGAATTCTAGGTTTTAAGTACTAAAGACCTAATTAAAAGAGTTTAATTAGGTATTGGTTAAATATTATAATTGTTATTATATTAAGGACTTATTTAGCAAAGTTTGGTAAGTTAAACCTAGATATAAATATCACATTATAGCCACTTTTTCTTTTGAGGAAGTGGGAAGGAAACAAAATAAAAAATTTCTTTAGTCTCTTGAGTGTTGCCACTCTTAAGAGGTTTAATTTTATTTTGAGAACTTCTCCTTTGATCATTTGCTGAAAATCAAAGAAGAAAAGAGGACAAATCATTGTCCACTTGCTAGCACAAGCCTGTAGCATAAAGCTGTCTCCTTGGGAAGGATCCGTTGTAATTGTGTGTGCATCATTGGAGGCCAAGCGATTGAGTGGCTTGGATTTTTTCACATAGAAGGTATTCATGTTTTGTCACCAAAAAGAATCTATTTGATTACGATATCACTTGAAA